CCATGTCCCATACTCAACCACATTACTATGCTACGAGTATATCTAACACTTGTCGAGGAGCGAGGGGAAGAAGGGAGAAGAAGCATACCCTGAGCTAAATGAATCGTCGCCACAGGTGATGCGGGCCTCGCACCTCATCCTTCTCCGCTGTGTGTCGCATGATGATGAAGTATCAACCGTTGCGGCTTTGCGCCGGCGTGGTTTTCCCTTTCCCCTGTTACGATCACCGCTCAGCAGTCGACACGTTCGCTGCGCGGTTCACGGCAGAGAGCAGACGCTGGAGGTGTGGGGTGAGAAGTGAAATATCTATCGGTATCCTCGACTGTCTTCCAGCGTTTGATTTGTCTTTGAAAGGCGTGCCTGGTCTTGTTTGCGGATTAGCCGTACCTGCACAACCTCTGTCAGTTCTCTTGCCTGCACAACTTCCAGTGTTCTTACCTTTGCTTCTGCACTGCGCTTCGTGCCCGTGGGTCCTCTCTGTAGGTCTCGCCAGACGAGAGAGGTGGGCATCAGCGAATCAAGAACACAGGTCAGAGAGGTTTGGACCCACTTTGATTGGAACTTCGGCAAGAGAATACTGCTGATGCCGCGATGTCTGTGCAAGTAATTATTAGCTACAAATCCGCGGAAGTACAGTTCCAGCACGTGTAGTTTAATGCTGGAGTTGTTTTGACATATCCTCCTTTAGAATACTCCCGAACGATTGTGTCCTTCCGTAATACCCTGTTCCCATGCTTCGACAAACACTACACAGACCCCGCGCTTTCTTCCTTTGCCGTGGCGGTATGTTTTCGCACGCGACCATACCTTAAATACACCATTTTCACAAATCCCCCCCCGTCCTGATCCAAAATTCCTGCTTGACCCTGATTCTAAATACTTTGACCACCATGGTAGATAATTTCGAGTGTTTGGTCGCCTGTAATTACTTGCATGCGCAAGCTACCGCATGTTGGAGAAAATGCAAGGGAAAATCGGTATCAACCAAACAGAGATTGCTGTAGCGCCTCTCCCATATGGCATGTATGCGGTGTAAATGTACACGAATACAAGGGTCTCGTGTCGACGGCCGGTCCCGCTGCTCCTCAACAAGATGGTTGTGACGTCCGACAAGAGTTGGTCACCTTGGCGGTGGTCCTCGCTGCTGCCGTGGTCGTCTGGAGGTGGGTTTCGAGGAGGAGATATGACTGGAAGCAACATTAGCTATGACACGGCCGCCGTTCGGCGGATGAGATCGACAACCTCAAGTCTGGCGGCGACGACATGGTCAACCCTGCGGGCTCCGACATCAGGTCCATCGATTCAGCAGGCGCGGACTTCCTATCGACAGGTGGGGACATGGAGTCTAGGAGGTCTGACATCGAGTCCGGGAGCTCGGGCGTCCAGTCAAGAGAAGCTATCGGGGCCGCCGGCAATTCCTCGCTGAGTGGGGAGGAGAAGGAATCGGTGGGCACGCGTAGCGTTCTGCTCCTTGTGCACATAATCTTTTTGTTTGTGTCCCGTGTGTGGCAATTAAGGGTTAGGTGTACCGGAACAGTTGTCGAGACCACTGCAGCGTCGTTTGGTGGGAACATAGTACATCCCACTCGTCTTGGCCACATATCATGTTGCATATATCTTCGACATGGCCAGGAGCGCGGTACAAACTGGCATGTCGATGGTTGGGCTGCCTACAGTGCAGGCAGCACCACAAAACGTCCACGGTTGATATGCATACGAATCGTAGGTTTTCATGCAGTATGTGCCCGGCTGGTACCCTTCTATTCCTTCTATTCCATAGAGCTCATTGTGGAAATTACTACTTCACCTCCGCCTCCCCCCCTCTCTTCTTGGACCGCGTCACTCCACCTGTTTGCGGAAAGGCTTCCGAGAGGTCTAGCTGCGACACGTCGGCACCCGTTCAAACGCACCACCCAGGTGACACCAACAGCGCAACCCTGGCATCGGCGGAAACGGCGGCGGCGGCGACGGCGACGGCGGCTCAGGCGGGGGCAGGCTCTCTGCCCTCCGACCGGAATCGGTCGAGGTTCAGCACGGAGGAGGTACAGCCGTCGACAGGAACCAACTCGTCAGCGATGGCAATGAGCAAAGAGTCGTCCAGACGCTCCTCGCAGTCGGAGTTCGATGTGTTGCACCACGGTAGCAGCGGCAATAGCAGCAACAACAGTGTTTTCAGCCGCGACAGTGAGAGAAGCCGTGATCGTGACGACGGCGAGCTGGGTGGACATTCTGTCAACCATGATGTCCTCGCAGTCGCCCTTCGTGGGGCGCGCATCACGACCGGTGAGAGAGAGGGGCAACCGGAGAGGGCTGTGACGCACGGAGACCTTGAGCGGTCCTCTGGGTCGGTGTGCGGTCAACACGACCCGGGAGCCTCCGCCGGGGGTAGCGGAGGGGGAGCATAACTCTCCACCATCACCGAGGACAGCTATGAAAGTGCAAATGGTGACCAGGAGGAGCAAGCGGAGGACGAGGAGGGGGAGGAGGGGGAGGAGGAGGAGGGGGAGGAGGAGAAGGAAGAGGACCACGATGAGGGGGGGGAGGAGGAGGACGGCAATGTTGGGTACTACTCCTTGCCTCCTTCTCATGGCTCCATGCCCGAGCTGGTGAACGAAAAGGAGTTGGAGCCGCACTTGACCCGTACCAGGACGAACCGACTGTTCGAGGTTTTCCGCAACGCACCGTTGATGTCCACGGCCGTCAGCGACATCGCGCGCCACTGCGACCTCGACCTGTCCGCGACTGACTCGAACGGCGACCTGACCAGGGAGAGGGTTATCGGTGCCGGCTACTACGACCGCGTGAGCCGCGTGTACCACGAGTCTCTGGGAGAGGTTCTGGCACTGAAGGAACTATCGGAGGTATAGCCACGAGGCTGGCCAATGCTGAAGGGGGCTTGAGTCATATCCATGTCTTGGCTCTTTCGTCTGTCGCTAGCCTTGGTGTGAACGTTTTCATTCGTTATGAGGGCAGCTCGCTAGTTCAAGACCTTTGGTGAGGATCGGGAGTGCCAAGATTGAGGTCCACGCACCCTTGCTTGCCCTCTCTCTTCTCACCGTCCCTCCTCGTCCCTCCGCCCCGCTCTTTGTCACTAACTTCCCTCTCAAACCTCAGGAGGCCGGAGACGAGCACCGAGCCGCGGCGCGACACGGGATGGACACGTTCCTGAGGTGTGCCACTGGACTTCACAAGTGACACGCTTTTTTGTTTTTACGCGTATGAGTCACCGTTGTTTCCCCCCCTTGAACATGCCGTACATCAATGTATTGTTGGAAGCAGAGTTTTGCGGATCCCGATGTGTGGCTCCAGAAATGTTTTCAGTTTTGTGCAGAGAAAAGCAAATTGGTGAAACACGTCCATTCCTGGATGCACCACGACTGCCGCTGCTCTTGGGGCTAATATCCTTCGGCACGAAGACGCGCTGCACCTATGAGCGGTTGGTCTGTAGCTCACCAAACTGAGTGTGCTCGTCCTGCTGTGATGCTCACTATGCCTTAGGCTTT